TAGAGAGAGATGAAGGTTCTGTCGTTGACACTCTTGTCCACGACCACGTTGAGATGGGAAAGTTGCTTGTTATTGCGGAGAGACGATCAGCAAAGGTCTGGGATGAAGTGGGGATCCAACTCCACCTCAGGGGGTACACAGAGTAGACAATTCTAAGGGGGTAGGGGTCAGAAGGGTATACCTCCTGACCGACCCGCATCCTATCAACAATAAGATGTACCCTATTCATGCTAGCAGCCACATTCCTTAACACTAGTCCACCCTGAATATCATATATGCAGGTTCTATACTCAAATCAATGCTCAAATCCTAAAGCTACAGTAAGATTTAGCTGATGATTTATGATCATGAATCGAGGATATCACTCTTCACAAAACATCCAAAAGGAGGGTGAGTTATACAAATATCCCGAATCAATCCCCCACACCATCATTGAGATGAAGAATGTGAACGGTCACGGGACGGAACATCGACATCTCAATGACAACGCTTAAAGGGATAAAGCTACGAAGAATATATATTGCGGCAGAGCACGCTATCATCCTGAACAGACGACGACAGGGAAAAAAAAAATCAATATCCAGACGCCACACACCACTCTATTTCGCGCACCCGCGCGTATCACCGCTGGAGGAATGAGGGTGACTACACGAGCGAGTCCAAAATACGGTGACGAAACTCGAAACCCAAACAATTTTCCGAACGAATACGGCCTTTGATACTGGACGCGACCCAAACGGGAAACTCAACGCAATCTAGGACGTTAACGAAGGGCAGGAGAAAAGAGCGACAGGCAAAGGCACGGAGAACGATGGCCGGCGTGCCCGGGTACCCAACCCGTATAAGGAGACGGCACGGGCAAGACCTTATGAAGACCAAGGATGCAAAGCACAAGCGATGAATGCAAGAGAGGCGGTCGACGAACTGCGCCATGGCTCGCTGGCGATACGCATCATTGAAAGACATAAAACACAGAAAAGTCGTAGAGATTCACACAACAAGAAGACAACTCAGGGGCGCTACTGTGATGAAGGCGTCGCCCGAAGCTGGCGATGATGGAGACGAAGCAGAACGAAGTGTGGGTGACGACGAAAATCTATGGCAGAAGGCGATGCCACGGGATGGAATCCCGAAGCACCAAGCGTATGCAACACTTGTGCGGCATGATGGAACTAAAACAAAAAAACATTAAGACATTAGTTGGCAAACAGGCGAACCAGGAAAACGCGCGGGACTCGGTGTCCAAGTGTCCCGAGGCAAACATCACCGACGAAACTTGGGGAACTCTTTTTCCAAGTGTTCAGAGGCAGATAACACCGACGAAACTTCGGAGGGAGCTTGTCAAGAGAACCAAAGACCAACAACAACAACAGAACAAAATTAGCAAAGGCGAGAGAGAACGGACATCCAGGTCGCGGCAGTCATTGATTCAGATGAATGCAGGCAACAAGGAAGAAGGATCACTCGACAATGCGCGTCTTGAGGCGGCGTTGCCCCAGCGTCCAAAACAAAAAGTAAGCCAACGAAAGAAAAGAGACAAGACAGAAAAACAAAACGAAACAAAACGGAAGGTGAGAGAAAAACAAAAAAACAAAGCAAAACGGAAGGTGAGAGAAAAAAAAATCAAAAGCAAAACGTCGGCGAGAAGGATGGCACAAAAGGCCAAAATAGGCCGATTGGTATATGAAAACGACGACGCTAAGAAGAAATGGTGGGAACAGCAGACGGTAAGGAGTCAGTAAGGAGCGGAGTGCGATCACGGTTGTCGCCCAGAGGGCGCGAACGATGTTTCTCTAAACACCATGATCCACAGACGGCGTCCAAGGCGGTGGAGTAGAGATGCGTAGGACGAGGGAGAACGCTTGGGCCCGGGTCGTCCAAAAATCGAACGATGTACGAGCCGCCCTGATGAGCACCAATACGTCCGGTCCACCACAATCCATGAAGGGCTTTGTACCACAGCCGCGCGCCAACAAGGAGGGGCGAAGTGCTGAAACGACGAAGCCAAGTCGCGTAAAGCACAAGATCAGCCCCAGGAGGCAAATAGCGTTCTCCACGATTTCGGGCTAGCTCCCGCTGTGCCGCGCGAGTCNACGAGGGAGAACGCTTGGGCCCGGGTCGTCCAAAAATCGAACGATGTACGAGCCGCCCTGATGAGCACCAATACGTCCGGTCCACCACAATCCATGAAGGGCTTTGTACCACAGCCGCGCGCCAACAAGGAGGGGCGAAGTGCTGAAACGACGAAGCCAAGTCGCGTAAAGCACAAGATCAGCCCCAGGAGGCAAATAGCGTTCTCCACGATTTCGGGCTAGCTCCCGCTGTGCCGCGCGAGTCCGAGCCACTCGATATGTACGGTTACCCTGCTTGCTTTGGCAGGCCTCCCGGGACCAGTACAAGAGGATGTGTCGACGGAATAGATCAAGGTCGGATTCCCGTTCCCATGAAGGAGTAGTCAGGCCTACCCAATGCGTCTGGTACAGGACAGCGAG